ACGCTCTTCCGATCTCCCCAAAACCCCAAAACCCCGAAAGATTGTATTTAAGATTGATATTGATACGATAATTAAATTTACAGATGAATCAAGAATTGATAAAATCATTAGGCCTATTCGTATTACCGCCAACTTTTATTAAGAAAACTTAAGAACAAAAAAAGCAAGAATAGCTAATCCAGTCATAGTACAAAGATTTTTTCAATGACGGAGAGAAAAAAGATGAGGAAATGGAGCTTGATGATGATGAAAAACTCAAACGATAAAAGGAAAAGGAACTAGAAGAATAGGAGAAAAAGAGGGAGTAGCACTTGATATAGCTGGATGCAACTAAGAAACTCTACATAAATGAAATGATGAGGAGATCAAATATGTTTGATGTAAGAAACTACATCCTTGATTTCGATATGACTGAACAAGAGAAGCAATAGATTCAGCTGAACTAAGACAAGACTTACTTTAAGAAACTGTAAGATGCCACCAAAATTGAGTTTGACACTCAAGTTGTGAATAATTTTGCCACCAGAAGATAACAAACTCAAAGTGTCATAAAGAAATTGCAAATAAGTGAATTTTGTGTCAGAATAGGCTTTGTTGACAAAATTCTTAAGAACTACAAGACTCCTATTATGGAACTTACTCTAAACTCAACATTTATTACTGCTAGTGAGTGCATGGTATTAGCTTCTAACCCTAGAGCGAGAGAATTGAAGTCACTTGATTTATCTTGCAATCCCATTTCTGTTCAGGGGCTTTTGTACCTTATCAGTCCCAAGACCTCAGCTATTTAAAAACTCTAAAAGCTTACCCTTATCAATTGTGACATTGATTAGTCCTAGACTTATATGGTATCTAACGATAGATTAGAAAATGGGAAATGCACCTTCTACTTGAGATATCTCAACCTCAGCCATAATAGCTTAAATCTATTTCTCAACTATGTCACCGAATTGGATCTAATCAATACAGAACTAGAAAGTTTGCAATTAGTAAATTGTGATATCACTGATGAGTAGATTCTTAATCTGATTTAAAGCAATAAACTCTCAAGACTAGAGCATTTGGATCTTTGCTCCAATCACATTGAAAAGACCTTCCCTCTAATGATGAAGTGGCTCAAGGAGAATTGTGATTATCTACAGAATGTCTTCATTAATGATAATAAATAGATGAAAAACTCCTAGACTATGCAGATTTCTAAAGGAAAGAAGAGTTCAGGCCTCCCGCTGCTAGCCAAACTAGATCTCTCCAGAAGCCTTAGAGGAGATCTACATGCAAATTAGCTCTCTTAATCATCTTATCTCAAAGATCTGAGGTATCTTAATCTCAGAGATTGCAAGATATGCTAGAAAGGATTTGATGATATTATATAAAGTTAGTAGCTTAGGTCATTAGAGTGTTTGATAATGAGGAAAAATAGGGTAAGAAATATTGAAGGACCCTATGGAGATCTAGAGGATATTGATGAAAAGAATATAAAGAAGGGTGTAATATAATTAAAACTGTTAGACCTGAGAGAGAATAAGCTGACTAAGATTTTCATGAGAAATGCAATAAGATTTCTAAAGGAAACAGTTGTATTAATGTGGGATAACCCTTTTGATAACATGGGTGATTTGAGAAAAGAGTATTATGATCCAGCCTGCTTATTTAGAGCATCTATCGAACTTGAGGATGATCCTTCACTAATCTAAAACCCACTACATATCTTCCAAGTTACTGAGAGATTAAGAGAGATGTTTGAAAATATTTGACTCCAAAAAATAATATAAATTAGCTATTGAC